ATTTTCCATGTTGAGCCTCTCCTGTTCCATGATTGCTGATCCTATCACACTCCAGAGGAGTGTAAACAGAGGTGAGGAGCTGCAAGCAATACTCCATTAAGAACGTGCCAGAATCAGTAAACTTCCCTTCCCCTCTTCTTGGACCCCTGCCCAGATATTGCAACTCAATCCACGCTCTGCTTCCATCACTATCAGCCTCCTTTCTTTCCCAGTTGTCTTTATTGACTTTAAAATTACACAAAAACGCCCTGGAACGAAGGTTCACTGCTTTTTCTTTGCCACTATCACCCAGAGCAGTGAATTCCACAGCTGAGCACCAACCACAGCCCCCATGAGGAGCAGTGGCCTTGGGCTCTGCAAAGGTATAAGTGACCCCTGGAGCCTTGTCACGGAAAACCTACTCAGCTCAGAGGTGTGTGAGGGTGAAGGTGACACTGGAGAAGTCCCTGGTTAATCCTCATGGCTCAGTCCTCGGGTGTGCAGTGAGCAGCTCCCTGATATCCAGCTGTGGAGCTCTCACAGACTCCCAAAGTCTGGCTCGGGGAAGTGGGAACATTTCCCAGCAGAAGCTCATTGAGCAGCTCTGAAACCCTGATTGATGAGTGTTCTGGTTTAGCATCTAAATCCTCAAAGGCTCAGCCAGGAGCCCTTATTGTCTGTCTCAAGCTGTGCTTGGCCACAGCAAGGAGCTGAGGCAGAGTCTGCAGGGCTGCCCTACCTGGGGCAGCTTGGCCTCTCCACAACCCACATCTCCAGGGCACTCCCTCCTTCTGGGATGTGTTTTCTGGTGGCTTTCATGAAGAGGTTTCTTTCTGGATTGACAGCCAGCAGGAAAGTTTGGCTCCTGTTGAAGACCTGAAAACAACTTTTATGGTGGCTGCAAAGAGCTTTTATCCCTGGTGCAGGCCCTGCTCCTCCTGCACTGCAGCCATGGGTGGGCACCTTGGAAATTTAGAGGGTCTTGCCTCACTTCCCCTTCTCTGCAGCTTTATTACCCTCAGACCAATCTTATTGTTCTGAGCACCTGAAAACACTCCCGTGTGGGGATTTATATGAGCATCCCTCAGAGGGAATGATGTCCTCCCCCATGAAAGGACACATCTAGCTGCTCCTTCTGTTTGATTTAAAATATTTGAGGAGGAAGGGAAAGGAGTACATCTGTCACAATCTCACTTGCAATCAGTGAAGTTAATGGAAAGATTTCTTCTGACTCTCCTGGGCTTTGGACAAGGCTCTGTGCTGCAACATTAGCAAATAATGAAGTTCACATCTCATCAAATTCTCCTCAGGAAAATAATTCTAATATATGTGGATGGCCTTTTGCAGCTCTCTCCCCAAATCTGTCCCTGCTTTGTCAGCTGTGCCAACACCTCTATCTCTGGTGTTAAATCACTGCTGGGGAAAACAGCATCTCTCTAAAGAATCTCCCCACAGGATGTTCCATCACTGCTGGTCCCAGAGCGCTGCCCCAGGGCTCAAATGGCCCCTCTGGAAAGGCCCTGAGAGAAAGATTAAATTTCCAACCTGTGGCTTTCTACCCCACATCTGCCAGTGCAGGAATGGCTAAAATCCCGGAATATGCTGAGAATATCCTTTGTCCTTCATCCTCTGGGGTGCTTCCTTTCATCTCACATCTGCCCCCCTTCATCCACAGCTTCTCCTACCAAGAAACCATTTCCCAGGGAGCTCCACGGGCTGGGGGCAGTTCTGCTGTTCTGTGATTCCATCATTCTGTGCTGTCCACATCCTGCTTGCCAGAGGGACCCCAAATCCCAGTTGTTCCTGGGTCTTTACTGGTCACACAGTCAGCCTGAACTCAAAACTCATCCCATCTTCCTTCCAGCAACCAGTGCCTCCCAGGCAGGGTCCTTGTGGAACCCTGGAAGGAATCAGCCTTTGTGAGGGCTGCAGGATGGAAGGAAGGTGAGGAGGTGTTTCCAGGCTGTAGGTTTAGAGCAGAAGGCCAGTGCTGCAGGCTTGAGGTCACAGATGGTCAGTGTGGCATCCAGGGAGCAGAGCTCAGCAGAACAGTTGTTTCTGTTAGATCTGCTTGAATATCTATGAATATTTCAGGATCAGGAAGTGGGGGGTGGGGGGCTGAAAGGGCTGTTGATGTGCAGGCTGCAGTCAGGGAGCTCCAACTCCCTCCGTGCCTCACGTGTCCCACTGCTGCTTTGGAGCTGGCTGTGCATCTCAGAGGTTCTCATTCCAAGTTTCCAGGGTTTTGCCTGTCCTCATCCCATCATTTCCATGCCTGGCCCTGGCTGACCCACCCAGCCCAGAGTTAGCAGGGTCCTCTCTCCTCTGACGCTCCTTGCTGCATGTGGGTCTCCTCCCTGGGGAGCATCCAAGAGGAACAGGAATGACCCCAGGGGACTTCAGGTGGGAGGTGGCATGTGGGAGATGGACTCCTCTCCATCTCCTCTCCTCCTCTCTCTCCACCCTCCCCTCAGGAACTCCAGCAGGTGCAGTCCCCAGCCCTGCCCTCAGCAGCACCAGCAGGAGCTGCTTCGCTTGGGCTCCACTGCCTGAGCCCACCTTAATTTGTCACTGTCACCTCCAATCTCTCTGCTCACTGAAACCAAACCAGCCTGATGGGAAAATGAAGCCATGGTTTATTTAGCAGGACTTCAGGGCACCCTTCCAACTGTAAGTTTGGAAACAAGAGTTCCAAATAAAACAAATCCTGAACTCCATCAGCGCGTGTGTAACGAGGACGATCCTTTCTGGTTGCTCAACCTCTCCTGCTCTGCAGTGCTGAGACAACCCACGGCCAGCAGAGCTGGTGCTTTTCAGATCCCACCACAAAACTCCACAGCTGTGGTCTTCTCCAGCCAATTTTCAGCACCAGTGAGCAGTGCTTTGCCTGGATCTTACTGCACATTACTGCCTCTATGTTTCCCCCCCAGCTGTCCCCTTTTCCTTCCTCTTTTTAAAATTTTCTTTCCTTTCTCAAAAAAAAAAAAAAAAAAAAAAAAAAAAAAGTATTAATGACACTTCTACCTCCACACCAGGGCTTACCAACTTTATTCTAGTTCAACATACGTGTTTTCCAACTCTTACTTCGTTCCTTCCCAGATTTCAGCATTCACTTCTACAATTTCCTGATTCCCACAAAGATCTGCAGCTCAGCTGAGCAACAGAGCACAGACAGAGCAGAGCACTGCCCTGTTCTGCCAAGGAAATCTTACAGGAAAACATTCCCTGTATGGCTGTTTTATGAGCTCAGGATCCTTTGTAAGTGATTAGCTTCCTGTCTCCTGTGATCTATGGGGACACGTTAACAGCAGGCACAGCCAGGAACAAGTTCTTTTGGGCAGTTTACAAGAGCAAGTTTTCCCTTCCCAGCTTTGGCAAGGCCTGGCTGTGATATTCAGTCCAACTGGCAGCATGATCCATCACCCTATGGCTGCCAAGGGCTGTGGGAGGCTGTGCTGGGAGTGAAGTCCCTCTCCTTCATGGCTGGGTTTGGGAATGTCTCCTTTAGTGGGCTCCTGCTGCCCGTGGGTGCCTGTTGGAGCCCTGGCTGGGCTGTCACGGCTTTTGTTCCTCACACAGTGTGGGCAAACCCCCAGACCCACAGAGCTGGATGGTCAGACTGTCACGCTGGCAAGGTGCCTTCCTTGATGTCCTGAGACATCTTGCTTTGCTCATCTCATGTCCCAACCTTCAGCCAGGACCAAATGGACTCCTCACTGGCTGCTGTCCTTTTGTAATGGGATCGTGTTCAGCTGGAGGAGACAACTCCTGACCAACATTTTATTGCACAGGTAGCTCTCTGGTCTAGAGAATGACAGGGGTCACTGCTTCTGAGGGAAATGGGAGAGCAAAGGAATCCTCAGTTCTTAGGACAATGATTTTGTTGCCAGCAAAAGGCTTCCAGAGGACACCATCACCTGAGCCTGTCTGCACAGGGTGATGAACACTGCACCAAAACCCTTCAAACTATCCCAGCCAAACAGACTGAACCAAACAGTCCCAAACCAAACACTCCCAATCCAAACAATCCCAACCCAAACAGTTCCTGCCTCAGCCACATGCCCTTCCCACCCAGAGCAGAGCCCTGTAGGTCGTGGAGCAGCCTGAGCTCCCACTGCCTTCCTTCAAAAGCTTTCCCAGCAGGGACCGTGAGTAAAACCTCCTCTGATCACCAAGTGACACAGGTCAGGAAGTGCTACCAGAACCTTCCCCATGTGGCTGAACAGCCTGTGAGTGAATGAGGGCCCAACTTTGAGCACATACCCAGATCAGCTGGGAGATGGCAACTGATGGAAGATGCGCCACATCCCCCCCCCAACAAAGGTGTGCAGCACCCACTGACACCCTGCTCCGACAGCTATCAACCTCTGAAGCATTAAATACCTCAGAACAATATCTTTCTTCCCCAGCCCTGTGCCACTGGGGGAATCAAGGCAAAAAGAAGGCAAATGATTTCACCAAATTCACGCAGCCAGTAGAAGCTGAACCCCGCCCCCCCCCCCAGTGTGTCCCCATTCCCAGGCCAATGCTCCTAGAGGACCTTTGGTGCTCTTCTAGGTCACCTCCCACACCATCCTCTCAGCACATGGCCACAGTTTCACCTGGATGAGCACACAGGCCCCGATTACTTGGATTTCTCTCTTCGCAGCTGCTCAGCGCAAGGAGCCCCACAAAGCCTCCCAGCTTATGTGTTCTGCTGGAAATACACACTGTTCTACACTCCATACAAGCTCCTGGTACAACCTGAATTTATACCTCACTGGCTCTGAATTTTTAAAATGCCTGGAGAGAGAGAGAGAGAGAGAGAGAGAGAGAAAGCAGCCACTCTGCTCACAGAAACCTGAAAGAATCATCACCAGCGAGCCCTGCACTGCTCCGCTCTGCCTGGGCGCCTTTTAAAGCCATTTATTATCCTAATTTCAGGTTTACAAAGTCTGCTGGTGTAAAGTGGGATGTTCTGCTGCCTTCTAATACAGCCCCTGGTCGCTCTGGGGAGAGAGAGAGAGGAGAGCAGCACTTACCTGGGTTGCTCTTGGAGGTGCGCACGGGGGTGTAATGGTTTTTGGAAGAGGTCCTGACTGGGGTGTTCTCTTTGGGAGAGGTATCTATGGCCGAGATAGTCTCTCTTTCACAGTGTCCTATTGGGATTGGTCCCTGCTGCCTTAAGATGTCAGCCAGAGCCCTGGGGAGAGAGAAAGAGGGGAAAAAAAAAGTGTTTTCACTCATCAGCTAGAACTTGGTATTTTCAGTTCCACAAATCCAGCAGCAGAAACAGAAGAAAAGAGAAAGAAACAATATTCAGAGTAAAATAAAAAATATGGCTTAAAAGCTCAGGTTTTTTCCTGTGTGGCTGCTGCAAGTAGTTCCTGGCTATTGTTCAGTTTTTCATATGCTCCCCCTAATTCACTTCACCCCAGGGTTGTGTCATCCCTCTGTCATTTTTCTTGCAGTGCAGATAAACTGCTCGTTGTAGCAGAAAGCTCCACCCAGAGTCACTCTGAACACATCACAGCCCTAGGACCTGCTACAGGGGGCACCAAAACTGCCCTCCCCAAGCCACACTTCTTTAAGATTGACTGAAATCAGGAGTTGGGTCCCCACATCCCAGAAATCCCTATTTTTTCTGCACCACAGCAGTGGGGGGAGGGAGTTTTTGAGAGGAGAACCAGCAGCCCAGAAGACAAGGATTAAACAGCGTTCCTGGGTGAATGTCAACACAGCTATTACCCTACCTAGAGCTTTCTGCCCATTAGGGATTTATTTAATGGTCCTGAGGTTTCTCTGCTATTCCCCAAGAAAAAGCAATGCCACGCAGTTCAGCTGCAGCCAATGTTTTCCCCTTGAATGGCTGGATACTCCAAGATTATTTTTTTTTCCCCCTCTGTGAATATCATGGACACAGTGGAATAATCACAGCGTGAAATGCGCTGATTTTCTTAGGGCAGCCACAAGCTCTCACTGGAGCCACAGGGAAAGGAGGAAGGGGGTGACTGGTGTGGGTTTAAGGGATAGTGGCCTTTGAAGGATGATGGAGTTTGAAAGGCTCTTTTCTCTTGGCAGAGGGAACATGTCTGATGTCACCTTGGGTACCAAGAAAGATGTAAGGAGGAGAAATTCCTTCATTGCATATTGATGAGGAGGATGCTGGTGTTGCTCATATCTCCTGGCATTCCTTAAATGCCATATTTCTGGTCTTTCATATGAGAAATAGCCTGGGACTCAAGTCCCTTCCATTTTCCAAATGATTTCCTTTCCAGACTGCTGTCCCTGTGCATAATGGATTGCAACACTAATGTGCTCTACAAAAGAAACCCTTGGAAGATCTCAGGGGCTCCCAAAGAGGATTATGTTAGTTCACAACCGTCCTGTGCAGAATATTTTTAACCATTTTTGATTATTTATTGACTGAGGCCTGAGGTTCCTGCCCTGTGTGACACTGCCCAGTCCCCTCCTGAGCAGAGGATCCATTCACCCAGTAATCCTGATGTATTCTGTCCTCCAAGATTCCAGCCCAGCACCTCCCCATTGCATTCCAGACCCTGCTGACTGGAGAATAGTTGGGAAGCTAAGGAGCTCTGTCCGTTTGGCATCGCCATCCTGCTGGAGACAACACATCTTTTAAAGGCAGCAGGTTGGCAGAACTGAGCCCTTGGTACATATCTCCAAGATATATTAAGCATCAGACGACCATTTAATGGCATCTGCTGTACAGAAACACTAAGAGTCATTTTTCAATCACACAGATTGTATTAAGACCATTATTTACCAGTCCACAGTGGTTTGGGCTCGTTTTGAACACTTGTCCAAGACACTCTTAGTGTCAGGAGTGCAATCACTCAGAGACCAGAGGAAGGGGACAGATGAAGATAACTCTAAAACACTGTATAAAACTCTAGATTCCACTCAGCTTAATGCCTTGGAGCCACCTGGACAGGACCAGCCAGGGCAGGGATCAGAGGGATGGGTGGGGAACACACACTGCAAACATCCCACAGAGGGGGGATGGGGAGCTGCAGGTCCTGGTGGGGTGGAAATGGGAGAGGACAAACCAGTTCTGCCTGAAGCTGAGTGTGTTTAACCTGAGCAAGAGAGGCCCCACATCCCACTAGTAGGGAGCTGAAAAAGGGTCAGAGCAGGGCTGCTTGTGGAGCTGTAAATGAAAGGAGACAAGAGGCACTTGGTTTAGGAGAAAAAAATCTACAGTAGGACAGCAAAACACTGGAACAGGGATCCAGCGAGGCTGAGGGATCTCCATCCTTGCAGATCTTCAAACTCAGCTTGAAAAGACCCTGAACAACCTCCTTTGCCTGTGAAGAAGGCCTTGCTTTAAGAAGATGGCAGCAGGAGGGACCTCCAGAGGTCCCCTCCAACCTGATTTCTGCTGCAATTCTGAGTCTGGGACCACCTTCCACTGCAGCTCAGCTCATTTCTCCTCACACTGCTGCCCTTTCCCCTGCTGTTATTACTCTCTGAATAGGGGTTGATACAGCCCTAAGCTTCCCTGTCTCCTGGATGGACAGTTTACCTCCATTCACTAAAAATAACTGAGGCAACTCGAGTGAATCTACCCTGGAACAACTGACGCTGATGGGAAGTGCCTCATCCTCAGTCACTACCCACCTGAGAGCTGAACCCTCTGCCTGCTGCCCTCTGTGAGGACAAATCCACGTGTCCAGGACAACATTTCAGTCTGTGATCTTTATCACAAACAAAAGTACTACTCAGGGACCTGATGAGTATAAATTTAATCCTTTTTTTTTTGCTTTCCATCCTGAAGGGATAGTAATAATGAGAGCTACTCTCTGGGTTGGTTGTTGGTCCCAACACAATAAGGAAATGATTTCTGGTGCCAGCCCACCTGGAAGGGAGAAGATTGTTGCTCTCAGACACTGCAGAAATCCCAGGTGACGCTCAGGAAAGTGATGTCTGTCCTGCCAGACTATACATGAGACAAACTGAGCACAACTGTCCAAAGCAGTCCTGGCTGTTGACCTGGGACTAAACCAGTGTGAGCTCAGCAGTGCTGGAGCTGTGATCTCTTTATTCCCTAAACACACCAGGCTGTGTGTCCTGTGTACTCCCTTCTCCTTTCTATAGCTACAGAGAAAAGACTTTTAAGCACCAGCAGAACAAAACTTTATAGGTGGGGGAGAAAGCCCAACTTGGATCCCACTGGTTATTTCCTTGCCAATTCAATCACATTGCTGTATGTGATCCAAGTTATTTCCATAAAGCCCAGAGGGTGGAAGGTCAGACCCACTTAAGTGAGGAAGGATTTGATTGGTATAAGTCTCCTGGGTACAGTTGTCTAATTGCAAAGCTTCAACAGAGCAGAGCAAGAGAGTCACTGAAATATTTGGGTCTTGTGTGCGCAGCCATTTGGGTACAATTAGTGCTGATAATAGTACTGATGTCAACAGCCTCCTAATCACCTGCCCAGGGATATGAGACACTTCAGAAATCTTTCTGTGACGACACATCTCTTATCTCAGGAACACAAACCTCGCTGGCTGGAACGTGGCACCTGTGGCAGCAGCTGGAGCCGCCGGAGCGGCACAACGGCACAGTCCCCTCAGAGATAACCACTGCTGACACCTCCTCACCCACGTCACTGCTGGGAGAACGCTGGAGCTCCTTCCCCCTGAACCCAGAATAGCCACAGTGACATCAGGGATGTTATTCCACACCAGTGCTGGGCCAGAGGGAGATCACAGCAGGACATGCCAGGCCAAGTCCTGCTCTCAGGTGCCTTGTCAGGGAAGGTTCTTATGGGACTCTGGACACTTTGGGAATCCCAGAATCACACAATGTGCTGAGCTGGGAGGGACTCACAAGGGTCATCCAGTCCAACCCTCAGCCCTGCACAGCCCCATCCCCAAGAGTCACCCCCTGTGCCCCAGAGGATCATCCAAAGCCTCCTGCAGCTCTGGCAGCCTTGGGGCTGTGCCCACTGCCCTGGGGAGCCTGTTCAGTGCCCAACCAGCCTGTGGGGGAAGAACCTTTTGCTGAGATCCACCCTGAGCCTGCCCTGACACAGTTCCAGCCATTCCCTGGGGGCTGTCCCTGCTCCCCCCAGAGCAGAGCTCAGTCCTGCCCCTCCTCTGCCCCTGCCCAGGAGGCTGTAGAAGAAATGCAGTGGGATGAACACAGGGGCCCTCAGGCAAAGAAGCATCTGTGGTTTTTCTCAGGAGGAGAAATAAAAGGTCTGTTTGTAAATATGAAGGGCCAAAAGGGATGAGTGGAAGCAGCAGGGCAACAAGGTTGGGCATCAGCTGGGGCCTGATGCTGCAGGTGAAATCAATAGGCTTTGATACCAAAGTAGGACTTGGTAACCAGAGAGAAAGTGAAGCTGCAGAGGCTGTGAGGGCCCAGCTCCCTGTCCCCTCAATAACCCAGCCCAGGACCTGCTCTCTGAATTCCCAACCAGGGAACAGCAGCTGGAGCAGTGCTGTCCTCCCACACAGCCTTTTCTCCAAGTGTAGTCCTGTTTTCTCAATATCCACAGATTTTCCACGCTGATTGGTAGTGTGAGTGTGGGCACAGGTCTGCTGAAGACAAGGGGAGCTTTGGTGACAGCACCAACAGGTTAAGATGTGGCCTGTGGGCAAATAAGATTGGAGTAGAGGAGTCTGTAGGTGCTGGGTGGGAAAGGCAATGGGAAGAGCTGCCCATTTCCAGCAGTGCAGGTTGTACCCATGCAAAACTTCCCTCTGCTGAAAATCCCCTCTCCTGGAGGCCTCAAGTACAACATGTGTTAGAAAACAGAATTGCTTGTTCTGAGTCCCTCTGAATTTGGGGAAGAATGGAAAAGGAATGACCAAATGGATCTGGCAGAGCCCAGTGAAAAGAGCAGTGCCTGGATGAGCTGAGAGCCTGCTAAAAGCAGAGCTGAGATGGAGCTTGTGGCAGGACTCCAACCCTCTTGAGCACGGCCAGGATTTCAGTACAAGTCCTTTAAAAAGCGAGGTTAAAGACTCTCCTCTGCTCCGTTACCGACCTGGAAACACGGAGGCAGCTGGTCCAGGAGAGGGGATTTATCCAGAGTGGAACCAGCTCACCTGGAAGGGACAACTCTCTCCAAGGGACAGGATTTCGGTCACTGGCCAGTCACACACACAGCGTGGCTGTGAATCATTGATGGCTTGGCTTGGCTCCTGTCCCCACACCTGCTGTGCCTTGGGA